CCTTCCTCCAATTCTTCTCATTTGCCACATTGATAAAAGGGAGAAAGATACGGATGCACAAATGATTGACTCAGGAAAAAGAAAGAGAGCTTGGTTAAACAAAGATCTTTAACCACTCTGCTGTTACAGCAGTGCTGGGAAATGGAAGCATAGAAATTATTAGACTTCATGATAAGCATTGGCAGAGCTAAAGGGATGGTCCTTCCTTGGCAAAATAGGCTATTAACTGCCGAGATGAGTCTGCATTAAGGTAAACCAGTCTAGCTCAGACAATAGGAGTATTGGAGTGGCATTACAAAAATTTGTAATTCAAAATTTTCAATTTTCAAAAATTTGAAAATTGGGCAGAAAGCTTCATCCTAAGATCTTTTTCAAGATGAGTAGGGTAATAAAATAAGGTTCATTTTTGATCTCCAAAATCAGTTTACTGGTCTTTCCGGCAATCGGACAATTGAAAAGTGTATATAAAATTTTAACTAGGCTAGTTGAATTGGATTATATATTCTCCTTGATACCAAAGTTTTCTTATCCCCAAATGCCCAGATCAAATATAGACCTTGCCAAAGCCTAATTCAAACCAATTAAATGCGTTCAAAATTCCTTTAACACAGGGGTGTCAAACTCGATTGCACTGAGGGCTGCATCAGGGTTGTGTTTGACCTCAGGGGGGGAGGGGGGTGGCATGGCCAGGATGGGCATGGCCAGCTCAACATCACTTGTGTCAGGACCACCTGTGGTGGCCTGGGGGGAGGGAATCCTCCTGTAGCCCTCTGCCAGCGAAAACAGAGCTGGAAAGGCCACATGTGGCCCTCCAGAGCTCGGTTTTCACTGGCAGAAGCACCGCAGGCTGGTCCTTCGCTATTTCAGGGCAGCTCTGCGGGCCAGATCTAAGCACCCCGTGGGCCGGATCTGGCCCATGGGCCCTGAGTTTTACACCCCTGCTTTAACATAACTACACATTTCAAAACACTTTGTGGTACCAACAGATTGCGTATTTCTTAAATTTAGAATTGTTTTTATAATGTACACCACAGAAAAGGCACCCCAGCTCTCTTTAAAATTGATCAGAGATAGAACCAAATAGGATTGCCTAGAAGGCCTTTCAGTGTTGCAGTGCAGGGTTGCACAAAAGAGTAGAGTTTGGGTTGCAATGTACATGGCACACTTTTCACCCTGTATCTCTCATTGCATAGTCACCCATGGAACTGTTTTGCAAAAGGGACCATGAACCCCCATGTTGAATTTGTACTTGTGAATTGTGAAAAGAAGAAGAATGAAGACGTATAGGAGGTGACAACCCCATGAATCAATAAAGCCTTATTAACAGATTAGTGGTCTGCTGTTCTTGGTCTGCTGTTTGAAATATATACAGTCATAGTCACCATTGATAATAGCAGCATCCATAAAAAGGGAGAAAAGGGAGTGAAAATAGGAGCACATTGTTGAGGGAAGATATTGCTAAAAAAATGGAGGAAGCAGACACAGAAATCTCTGCCTACTCACTTAGGGATTACTTCTTTATCTATGCCTTGGATTCATTTTTGATTTAGTGCTAAAGGCTAATCTACACTTAGATGAGCCATGAGACCATTAGCCTGCCTTAGTGGGCAGATTTAGAATGGGCTTATTAAAAAGCATCTGTCATACTACAAAGCTGTGGTGTAAATTAGCTCTGGCTTTGAGAAATTAGAGATGATTCAGAAAAAAAAAAAGCTTCCAATGGATCTGTGAAAGCATGTCCAAAGCATGTTTTCTGCTACATACTTTGCATGATAATGCTTATCTTTCAGCTCTAATCCCACTGTCCCTGGGCATGCAGGCAGGCTAAGGAACAATTGCATTAAGGCTTGTGTGGCTGACCATATAGTGTATGGTGCCAGTAACGCAGCAATATCATGCAGCTGAGAATGGCGTCTGAAGCAAACGCAGGAATCGCTGGAAGAATAGTCAGTAAAGAAGAACGTTGAACGAGCATATTACTAATCATAAATATTCCCATTCTCCTCTTTGGTTTTCTTTCCACAGTGCTTTCTGCATCATTATTGCCCCTCTGTTCCAGTTACACACAGAGAGCTATGGAAATAAAATTAATGGTCTTGGATGTAACCATCAGATTAGATCAGATCTTTCCCAGGAAGAATGCACCTCCAAATCTCCTCAATTCACCATCTACTTTCACCATCTTTTGCAGAAGAGGCCACTCTTCCTCCTAGACGTTTCTCAATAATCCCATAAAAAAACACCTCTTTCCTCTCCAGAGCTCTTATTTCATTCATGTTGTTCTCCTAATCCTTGGCTTAGTGCCTTTGAGTTGTTTTCAGATTGTTCTCCAGAGTCCCAGCTTATCTAAACTGTATGCTTTTAACAATCAGCCCAGCTTCTTTTCTCATTTCCTGCAACTTCACATCTCTCTCCGTCTCTTACTCAACCTCTTGCTACCCAAGTTCTTCCATCCCTTCAGATGTCTTGGCCATTCTTTCCCAGCAGCCTTCAGCTCGATTGCCAAGTCTTATGATTTATTCTTGCAGTTTTTATCAAAGCTGCAAAACCCTGGGTCAGGTGATCCAGTGGAAAAAAAAAACTCAATTCCCTGGCAAAGGTAATGCTTTTCCACTTTAAAAAAAATGTAGATTAACAACAGGAAACCAACCCCTTTATAAAAGACCTCAAAGACACTATTTTTCAAAGTCCTCAGTTTGAACTTCTCCCTTCCACGGGGTACAGAAATCTTTAACAAGCAAAAGGAGGATTTCAATTAAACACACACACACACACACACACACACACACACACACACACACACAACGTAAAGGCAGAATGGATCATGTTTCCATCTATCCTTGTTCTTCCTTTCATGCTGCAAAGAAAAGGTCATATTGCTCTCCAGAACTAAATCCTTCTTTGTAAAAGAGATGAACACACAGAGAACACAGCTCTGGGCAAAGCAGAGTTATAATAATAATTTAAAATAAGACAAGAGCTGTCCTATCTTTACTGAGCATAAGCAATAACTTCAGGCAGCAGATACTGGAGACGTAGACCTCTCTCGGATGGACCTCTTGTACTTCTCTGCCCACCCTTTCCCTTCTTTTGGAAGACACAGCTCTGTAAACCATACATTCTTAATTGCAGTTCTTAGCCTAGATTTCTTGTATATTTGGGGAAATCTGCTAGACCATAGCATTCAAAAAATAAATGCAGGTGCGGGGGATCACCTTGTCCACAAAACGTAGGCTTTGGTAGGTTAGAATAGGCCACCGTGGCATGTAACTCAATTTGCCAAGTACCTTCTGTGTGTTTTGAAACTTTGAGCAAGTAACAAATGACATACCGGTAAGTTTCTCAAGTCATATTTCCAAGCACGGAAACAGCCTATATTCACATAAAATGTATAGGCTTGACACCAGACCCATATGAGAAAATTAAATCTGGATAAATTCAAACACTATCGAAACCAAATAACATTAATCAGAGAAGTCAGAAACAGAATCTCAGAGTATCTACAGGTGTCTCCAATGTTGTAATGCATCCATTTAATAGTATTTTTATACTCTGGGCCCTTCAATCTCACTAGCATCTCAACAGACTAGCATGGCAGTTAATTCATACCATGTTGATATTTATTATTTAATCAATTAGATCTGAAATTAGGATGAGTGGATGCAATAGAAGATGAGCTGCGTCAACTTTTCACAGTTCACTCACCTCTGTCTGAGGTAAGGTGGCCCAGCCAAAATTCCCTCTTTTAATGTGGAAAAAAATTACGATGTTTGCTCTTTTTTATCTAGTTGATTTAAAGAGATATGTAGGAAGAACAAATCTTCCATGTTCATACATTATCACTACAGATTCTGAAAAGTTGTTTGTTTAGAGAAAGAAGAGCAGCAGAAACAATCAACATTTCTACTGGGCTTTCAAGAATTCAGAGTGTTCACAGGTAAGCAAGCTAGGCATTGTGAAAAAACAACTTCCTACCCCCTTATAGTTTTACGATCAAGAGTTGATGGTTAACCTATTGATTGCCTTTGGTTATGACCCATAAAACATCAGAGGCTGTTCCCCTAAAGGTCTTCCCTAAGGAACTGTACAACACACCTGCTGCTCTCATGCTCAACATAATATGCGTTATGAGAATATTTAATGGGAATATTGAAAGGTGGGTTCTTCATGATCCCCTTCTGGTGAACCCAGAAGGGGCAGTCTAAATATACATCAGTCATAATAAGTACACTAGTCTGCCTCCCTGCGGCCTGAAAAAGGAAGGGAAGTTAAGAGGAAATGACACATAAGGTACAACCATCTGTTCCTAGTGGGGAGTCACATGCTGAGGCTGCCATGTCAGCTTCCTACCCTTGGAGCTCCATTTGTCAACTCAGCTCAGCATCCTTCGCAGGCAATCATTGCTTCACACCAGCTAACCCTGAACATTTACAGACAGGGCGTCCCAACACCTGTCTCCTTCTCAGCAACAGGCAGAGGGCCCATTCATCGTAGCACAGTCCCTTCCTAGGGATTTCGGTATATGAGTGGCTGCCAACTCTTCAGTGCATTCAGCAGCTTGGGTTCACTGAGCTGTCAATCTGCTGCCTGCACTGCCAGCCATGGTGCTTGACTCTTTCAAAGATCTAAGGAAAAGCCACAAGCTGCAAGGCTAGTTCTCTCCAGATGGAGAGAGGCAGTGAAGTGCAATGTGCCATGTGCTTGATTGATGCAGGCTGCTAGCCCAGGGGCTTCTCGGAACCTGTTCTAGAAAAGCATTGTTTATAATCATGGCTAGAGTCCTAAGGAAAGGATTTGCTTCAAGCAGCTTCCTTGGAAACAAGAGTAACCATTTGGATAAACTAGCCATTGAAAGTTTCAAGTCTGGATCTTGCTCTGTCTCCAGCCTATGTTCCAGATAGAGAACTTTTGATAACCCACCGATTGCCAGAAAGTAAAACCCAAAACAAGTTTACCATCAAACTGTTAATGCTGTTTTAATTCAGAAACTGGGTTCTTACCTTTGAAAGTGAGCTGCACCCTTGGAGTAGCGAAGAGGTAATCCTTGGAGTATGAGGGCCACCAGCCCACAATGAGAAGGATGGCCCAGAGCAAAAAACCAACTAGGGGCATGGTGCAGAGAACTGGGGATCCAAAATCCAAGCAGACGTCTTAGCCACTTTAGAAGAGGAAAGAGAAAAGAAAAGACAAAGAATGTTAACTTCCCCAAGTTTATGGCAACTGAAGGAATAAAATGTCCTACTAACCTGTCAGCTAAACCATTCAGAAGGTTATCCTCCAGCTACACAGACCCTGGGAGTTAATCTCTGTTTTCTTATAAACAGATTAAGGATGAGAAATTCAACTTTTGGAACAGGAAAGAAGATGCTATGGCAAAGGAACTGATGCTGTGTGGGATGGGTCTATGACAACTCACTACAGCCAACGCACCATGGCCAACTCATTGCGGGACAAGTCACCACAGGACAAGAGTTACCCTAATATCAAACAAATAGTGGAATAGAATTATTAAAGAAAGGATGCCAAAGGAGGGACAAAATGAAATGTGAATGTCAAAAATTAAAATTATTTTTAAAATTATTTTAAATAATTAAATTGAATTGTGAGTTGTCTCACAGTGGCGAGTTAGACATGGCGAGTTGACTGTGGTGAGTTGCTTGTGTTGAGTTGACTGTGGTGAGTTTGTCCCATTCTGGTGTGGGATGGTCCATCAGTGGTTTAGAATTTGGTCTAGTGGTTAAGGCACCAGGCTACAAAATGAGAGACCAGGAATTCAAATCCTGCTTTGGCCATGAAGACCAGCTGGCTGACTTTGGGCCAGTCACTCTCTCTCAGCCAAACCCATTTCATGGGGTTGTTGTGGAGAAAATCGGAGGAGGAAGATTTGTTGGATATGTCCAATAAATAAATAAATCGAATTAGTATTATAATTTGCACAAGAGCATCTCAGTGCAAATGGTGTCTGATATAACCTCCTCCCCAATAGTCTACATTAATGCCATGATGACACCTGGAACTTTATATCTTTTGAGGGCTCTGAGAAAATACTGAACCAAAGTGATTTTTCTTTATGGTGAATATGATTCCAAGACTCATGCTATGTTCAATAGTTTAAAAAAAATTATGTGGACACATTCCAAATCTAAGGGCAGATAACCATATAAATTCTCATGTTTTTAGTAAAATCCCAAACCATCATCCTGATCACCTGATTGACACATTGCATTAACCATGGTTTTCCAATTCTTATGGTAATGAAGGAATCACAGTGGTGGGATCACACAAGACGGTAAGCAATCACTTCTTCGTGTGATGTATGAACCAGATTAGTATAATCTTGGCACGTAGGGGAAAATGTTATACAAGCAAGTCAATTACAAAGGATCTTGAATGTTAACCTCATTCTAGAGTGATATGGGTATTCTTTGGCATTAGACTGCCTAGTATTGAATGTGTACACACACACACACACACACACACACACACACACATTTTGGACCATTTCCTAGATGAAGTGTAATCCTTTGCTGCCCTCTGGGTTTTCTACTAAATCTCTTCATGTTAAGAAGGCCTCTAGACCAAATCCCTTTTAGCTTTCCATACAGTAAATATTCCTAGTCTTCAAAAGAAACATGAATACAATACTTTTCAGTGCAGATAGATCTGCCTCCTCCTTTAGACGAAAAGAGATCCAAGGGCTGAGCAAGTTGGTGTACATATGATTCAAGATGATTTTTCGTGCCTGGATACAAAGGCAACCCCAAGAATGAATCCAGCACCCTCAGTAACTTCAGAGCAAAGTTGCTTCTGTAACACAAGCGTGGACTCTGAGTTGGGGGGGTGGGACTTTTCACCCCGATGAGTGCAACCGGGGTCACTCTGTCTCTACCGCTAGAACATTAGAAGGGCTCCCTTTCACTGGAGGAATGAATCTCAGCCAGGCCATCGGAGCCCAACTGCAATTAACAAACTCACATGCTGCTCTCATTTGGTAAAGTAAACAGGTTTTGATTGAGGGGCAGTAATCAACTTGTCTCCTCGCAGGAATGAAAGGAGTCCTTATAGTCCTATCTCATGGCGGCGGCAAGAGTCAGAGCCAGCAGCCCACCCACTAGGGGCTCTCGTGGGAGCAGCCCTTCCCCTCGGAGACAGAGGCAGAGTGGGGCTGCTCATTCCTCCCTTGTGCCTACCTCCATCGCTTTCCAACAGAGCAAAGAAGAGCAGTGAACCAGGGGGAAGGAACCCTTGCACGGTTACTGTCTCCATTTTCTGCCAGGCAGGAGAAATCTGGACTTAATTATTTGAAAGACCAAAAAAAAAGACCAAATGTGTTTTCTTTAAAAGGAGGAGGAGGAAAAGAGAGAGTTTGTATGTACCAGGCTAACTGAGTTAGAGGGGATCTGACAGCTTGGCCTGGCTAGAATGCCGGAGCTGAGGGGGTAGGGTGGGCAGTGAAAGTAACTACCCAGAATTCAAATGGGACTTTTTGTTATGTGTAACTTACAGTATTCCCTTTGTTGGGTATAAGTTACACATAAATTTCCCAACTTCAATGATGACGACAAACATACATTTCCTCATATGAACAGGTCATCATTTCCTGAAGATAAACATTTTCTCATTTTTTTTAAAAAAAAAATATGTTTGCCTTTTACCCAGTCCCTCTGGATCGGAACTGGCTTCCTGGCCTTCTTTCCCAGAAGAGCTGCCTTTTTAGAATACTGTACAGGTTTAAGCATCCATTCGACAACTGGATAACGAATTACACTATAGTTGTCTGTTTTCTGTGGTTGCAGTTGGTGGAGGTTTAAAAAGCAGAAATATGACTGAATGTATTCCTGCATGCAATTTCGGCATCTGGAATTGTATCAAAGTGCTACAGAAAAATAACTTCCCAGAACGATGGTCCTAATACTAGTATACGATGGGACCCTTTCACTGAATATTCTGGAAAAGCAATTTCTTCTAGAAAGCAGAAAGGCATTGGGTGCAAGTCACCTTCCTCGGAGGGGTATGATAAAAGCTGCCCAGAGTTGTGGGATACAAGATGGGCAGCAAATAAATGTTATAAATAAACAAATAAATAAAGTTCTCAATGCGTCTATGGTAATTGGTTTTTAGTATATTTGGATGACACTTGCTCTGAGGAGTTAAACTTTATCCAAAGAAATTGGCAAGTAAAACACAAAATCAGGTATGCAAATCCCTTCAGCATGTTATGATTACATAGGATCCAGACTCTCCTTGCCATGTAATACAATCAGAAGGCATCACCTAAAGATGTTCTTAAAATATGGGCCCAAGAAGCCCTGTCTGCTGCCTTTGCCATCTTTTTCTCTCGTTTTTTCTTTTGCAGCACAGCTGAATTTTCCTTCTGCTAATAGAAGGCAGAACATTGTTCTATCCAGCTGAGCCTGCCTTGCCTCCGGAGACCTCTGGCTTTTCCTTCTTTTCTTCTTGTTCCAGCAAAGAAAACAGGCCATTTGGTGCCACCCATATTCTAAGAATGTTTTTTTGCATGGATTACAAGGGCTTGAAACTCAGAAATATGGTAACTTCTACATTCTTAAACTCCTTTTTTGTTTTATTTCTATTGTGCTAAACGCGCATCTGGATACAGTTATAAACCATGTTAAGAATGATTCAAACAGTATGTCTACATGTGAACAGGCAAAATCTGTTTAGGTATTTAGTGCTCTTCTCCAACAAGGGTATCTGAAAAACCTCAAAACTAATGTATAACATGCACATTATTAGCACTTCAGTGAGTTTCTAGAAAGATATTTTTTTAGGCTGATCCAGAACAATTTGCAGTGAAATGCACACACATACACACAAAGCACAAAGGTGAAGCAAGCCAAGCACAGCTCACATTCTGCTTGGGACAGAGATCAGAACAAAGGGAGCATGTTCTCAATACTTCTCCCTCTGGTTCAGGGGTCACCAACCTTTCGGACCTCAGGGACCACTAAATTCATAATTTAAAATCCCACGGACCACTAATATGATCTACCTAATGACCAGCTGGGTGGATGTGGCTAGGTGGTCATGTGACTGGGTGGGTATGGCCAACTCAATGTCACTCATGTTGAGGGGCGCCTCACCTGCCTCTACTTGCCCCTCCCCTGCCAGCCACTCCTCACCTCCCCACCCAAGTTCCTTAGGGCCCCAACAGGAAGCAGTTGTTGGAGCTAAGCAGCCACCACAAGAAAGAGTTAGCAAAACAGCTGGCTCACTTCAAATTGGATCTAACTGAGAAGGAGGCTCAGCAGAAGCACCTCACTGAGGACTACGAGCATAGGCTTTCCAAGCAGAGGGAAGTGCTGCGGGAGTGCAAGGCCAGGTACCGACACCTGGAGGCTTAGCCAGGCTGAGATGGTCAGCAGTTCCAGACCACGATACAGTCCCACTGGAACAAGGCCCTCTGGCTCTTTGCCACCAGCGGCGCTTCCCTCCAGCCTTCGCCCAAAGCCCCGCACCAGGAGGCTGAAGCAGATCCCAAGTCAGACTTTCTGCCCCTCTCCGACCTCAAAGGGGGGACTCTGCAGCAACACAAATATTCATTGCACATATCCAGCCCAGAGGCTGTATTTTGAGGACCCCTGATTTAGTGCAATACAAAAAATGCTAATAATTTTTCTGTGGACCACCAAAATTTTCTCATGGACCACCAGTGTTCCACGGACCACCAGTTGGTGACCGATGCTCTGGTTAACCGGTGAGGTACACGGAAATAGGAGTTAATGACAGAAACAAACTTCAGGGAATTCACAGGAAAATCCTTGGAATCAGTCAAACAAATCCAACCTGGCTTTAAGGACATTCAGAATAATGGATGGGCCAATGGAGGACAGAGCTTTCTTCAGCTGTGGGCAATATACCACAATTGGAGGAGTTAAAAGTTTCCCCGGGGCAATATATCATAGCAATTTCCTTTGCTCTAGGTAAATATTTGTATTATTTCCCTTTCTTTCAGCGCACATTTGCACTTCCTTTTTTGCAGATTCCTCACTCAGCACTCACTTTGGGATTTTTTTGGAATCAGAATGTCTAAAATCTGAATTCAACTTGTGAAATAATTGCTACATTTCAACTGCAGTTGAATCAAAACCCTGCCAACCTTAGAAAATAGCTCTGGCAGATAACGCTGTTGCATTT